GGCCGCCTCCGGGTGGTGAGCCTGGGGGCGGGGCGGCAGGCGCGTCCCCTCCCCGCCCGACCGAGCGGGCTGCACCAGCCCCCCAGCGCCCCTTCCATCTGGGCCCCTCCGCCCGGCACCCCCTTGCCCGGCCCGTCCGCCCTGCCGACCTCAGGCAGGTGCCACCTTTGTTCTGTCCTGGGGTGGGGCGGCGGGGGCTGCCCTCCCAAAGTTCAGGGGGTCGCCGGATGCCGGGTGGGAGTCCCTGTCCACCGCAGCAGGAGGCCTGGCCTCTCCCCAGGCCTCCCTCTCAGCCGTTTCCTGGCCGGGAGCCCCGACCCTGCCTCCATGGCCCTGGTGTTCCTGGAGACCAAGGCCATGCGAGTTGTCTGCAGACGGGTGACTCACAGGCCCGGAGCGGGGGCTGGAGGGGGCCTTTTCGGCGCAGGAATTGGAGCAGCCCCTGCCCAGCCAGGGAGGCCACAGCCCCCTTTGGGTCGATGACTTCCTGGAGAGGATGGGGTGTAATTCCTCGGGGCGGGGAGCAATATGGAGGCCAGTGAGGCCACAGCTGTGGGTCTGCAGAGCATGTGTAGGACTCAGAGCTCAGAGGCCCAGAGGCTGGGGCTGGGCTGTGGCAGGTCCTGGTCCAGAAGACCCCTGTGGAGCGGTACCCACTTTCAGGTGGGCAGCAGGCGCCTCTGCAGGGTTCTGCTTGCAGCCGTGAAGAGCATAGCATAGCGTAGCTCCCACCCTCAGGGCACCAGCTCTGTCCGAGGTTGCTGTGGGGCTGTCTCTGGACCTTGAAGTATACACAGCCCCAGGGTGTGTGCTGAGCAGCTGGCCTGGGCCCATTGCTTCCAGGCCCCATGGCCACACCTCTGGGCTTAGCACTTTCCTGCCCTACCTCTTGTGGTCCTGGGGCCCTTGTCAGGCAGGGCCTCCCCTGTGGGGTCCTTCTTGGCCTACTGGGAAAATCTGGCTGTAGCCTTGTCCCCTGGAGGCCTGCTCTCACCCAAAGCCCTGGCTGTTCTTGGCACTTTTTTTTTTTTTTTTGGG